TGTCCAGATGTTGCTTTCCAAGAAGTCTGCGTGGGGTCGGATGCAAAGCGCGGTGGTGACAATGTAGCGATGACCACCCATGGCCGATGTAGTGTGGTCCCTTCTTTCGACATTTCAATTTCTACACACTGCGTTCATTCTTTGCGGCAGCGTCTACCACAACCAGCAGCGGCCTCCAGCGTGCGCCAGCGATCATCAGCACCTCGACAGACCAGCATCCGCCAGCGATCATCAGCGCCTCGAGAGGCTAGGAAAGTATGTATGTAGATCTCAAAGTGTTAGAGGTATGGTGCGGCTGCCCAAGCCATAATTTCACCACGCCAACTCGGCTCTCTCCTCTCTACTACTTTCTCAAACTCTCTACTCCTGGACGCTGCTAGACCTGAGATCAATACCTATACTTCCTTGGTCCCTTGAGACGCTGGTGACCCAGGTGAATGCTATCGTTCGGTAAGTCGGTATCTATACTTTATTAGTAGCTGACGCTGACAGACGCTCGAAACACTGATCGTTAGCGCTGGATGCTGCCGCAAAGTATGAACGCGACCTAACTGAATACCTGCACAGACAAAGTATCAGTGATGAACTAAACTACTGCTTTCTGGGATTGTGAAAGTGCCGAAGATAGGAATTGCTCACGTTGAGTGCCTGCAATGCAGAAAGAACTCTCAAATAGCCTTTAAAGTACAGCTAATGAACTTCGTCAACTGTTTTTATCACACTGTTTTTATTTTGATAGTGTAGGAGAGTGCAATGCGATAGGCGATGGAGACCAAACACCAGGTGGCCGACAATGTGATGCCGATCCAATGTCCTCTAGACCAGAAGTCGGGGTAGGCACTTTGTGACCAGAGCTGAGCAGAAATTATTCCGAGGCAAGCCTAAAATGGCAACTGGTTTGGTAGGGGAACAAATGTGAAGACGTTCTGAGGGGGAACTCACAATGATTCGAGCGTCGACAGCCACCATTCGATCCCTCATATTACTCCATTGAAGGGCGTGGGAGGGTGCTATATACGTTCCTAGGAAAAGCGCTCCCATAATTCGTGCGCAGAACTCATGCGATTCGTCCAACGGGATCACGACCTGAAAAGCTGATGAACCTAGCTTCAGTGGGTTATCCCGTGGCGGTATACTGAGGAGGTTCAATCACCATCCTCACCTGTCTAGCCAGAATCCATTTTAGAGACGTAAGCCAAGCTACTCCAAACATAGTCGTGATAGCATCCAACTGTTGGAGACAGTTACCAATTCTGTGATCAGGTAGCAGTGCTGTACCTGGAATCGGCCCACGCAATGGCTGTTGAATGACTGGAGAATTTTAAGGGTGAATTGGGGCCTTGAGGAAGGCCCACTATTTTTGTAGTGAGATTTGACTCCTCTTTAGCAATGTCATCACATAACAAAACTGGGAGCAGTACGACTTGGTGAGGGCAACGAATGGTGCCCAGCTGAGCTTTTACGGACCACTTGGTGAAGACTTGCAAATTACTGTGACCGATGTAACTCACAGAGCAAGTTTGCAGGTTCACATGAGTTAACAGGTTTGACCTGAGTGAGACCTGTTCGTAAAATAAATCAACAAAAATAACTAACGAAAGTGCGGCATGCTCCTCCAAACCGTACAGCGCCTATA